TTTTTCGTAGCCCGGGGGCGAAGTCAAGTTCGTTAGGCGGCACGGGCGGACATCGATAGCAGCGCCTCTATCGGTCACTAGGGAAAGCTGGGCTGTAGGCGACGAAATACCGGCTGAGTCAGGGGCGGATCCAGAAAATCTCCAAGGGAGGGGCCATTAGAAACCAGGAGGCCCCCCCCATAATCCCACCTGTTGGAGGCCCCATCTTCCCACTTGTTGGCCCCCCCCCAAAAAAACTGCGTCTATTGAGCTTATCTAGCTGTTCAGGCAACATCTCAACATCTGTGCAGGCTTGGAGGCCCTCTGTGCAGGTTAGGAGGCCCTGTAAAAGTGGTCATCTCTGTGAGTATAAGAGACCTCCAAGTTATGAAAAGCTTTACCAATCTTCTAACAAAGAAGTCTTCTCAGCTAGTCTTCTAAGAAATAACTAAGTGGGTAGGTTAAAAAAAAAAAACTCATCGGATTTCGGCCACTTTATTTTCAGGAGGCCCCCTTTTCATCTTTTTAACTTTTTAACTTTTTATTTTATTTTTGAAAAAAAATCGGCCAAGGGGGGGGGGCCATGGCCCCCATGGCCCCCCCTTGTATCCGCGCCTGGGCTGAGTTGTAACAAGTTAAATAGGTTTATAGACATCCGTCTTGTGAAAAAGTTGAACTTTTGCCTTCAATATTTCTACAGGCAATTTTAGAAGTGCCTTCACATAGATTACAAAACCGTTTAAATTATTTTATTCACTTCAAGCCTTCCCTATTGTTCTTGATGATGCGGGAACTATTTCTAATTAGTGTTTCTAGCTTAGTAAAAGAACATATTGTGCAAACGATTAAAAAAGCATAAATGGAAGATTTTAAATGCAATTTTCTGTAACAAATAATGGTAAATTATCTACACATCAAGGAAAAGGTGCATGCTAACTGATAGTTTAACCCGCGCACCGACGGGGGTCTGCGCCAACTTAGTACCGACGGGGGGGGGGGGCGGATGACCGCCCCCCCCCCCCTGAGATCTCGAGAACAAAGCAAGATAGCGACAAGCGGTAAACGGCATCGGATACGCACGGTCAAGATCTACAATTTTTACAAAGGTCATTTTCAGGTCAGGTCAAAGATGACGTCACAGGGGTCGAAAAAGTCAAAATGGCGGCGCTAAATATGGAGAGAGTTTTTCTCGAATAACTTTCGAATTAGTCGAGATAGGAACAAACTAAGGGCATCATCGTGATCCTCTCGTCAATCCGCATCGAATGATATATATGTTGACCTCGAAAGGTCAAGGTCAAAGGTTGACCTCAGGTCACGTGACCTCGAGGTCATCATGTATATCATTCGATGCGTCTTGACGAGCTGAACACAATGAGACCATCCACGCGTCTGTATCTTGTTCCTGTACGGAGTTATTGGCCAAAAACCTTTGGTGACCTTTGATGACGTCACATGACCTCACAGCTGCCCAACAGCAAAACAGACCTCAAGGTAGTGAAGGTTGATCGTATATGAAGTCATGTATGGTATATGGGGCCATTCCGACCCGTTTTAGTGGTAAAAACAGGGAGTTGATTTTTCCCCCATTGACTTATAATGGGGAGGTCGCGAAATTGACCTGACCTTAGGTCACCGATATCAAAATTCCGAGATGAACAAATTGTAGCTACTAATGACCTAATAACATCCTGCGACTTTCAAAGGCCTCCGACATCTACTGTAGCTCTGGCACGGTGACAAAGTTGCAAAAAAGTGACTTGAAGTTGGGTCATTCAAAGTGACCTGGTGACCTGACCTTGAAAGGTAGGAGGTTCAAACTTGCACACCATGTGTAAAATTGATAAGGGAATAGTCATACCAAATTTCGCGGCGCTACGCGCCGCGGTTTTCCCGCTATTCGCGAAAAACCTCGAACTTTAACCCCCGTCGGTGCGCGGGTTAAAGTTCTTGGGGCCAGTTGGTTTCTTCTTTTCTTACGTCGCCCCAATGGCCGCGAATACACTTGTGATAACGCCTATCGTAAAAAATACGGTATCATCTTTTCTTGTTTGAGCACTCGTGCTGTACACATTGAAGTTGCCAGCAGCCTTTCAACCGACTCCTTCATTTGTGCATTTCGCAGGTTCCTTGCGAGGAGAGGACAAATAAGAACCATCAGATCTGATCGTGGTACGAACCTCGTAGGTGCCAAGCGAGAGCTAAGTAGAGAGTTGGACCTTTTGGCTGACAGTGACGCAATCCATTCGGCAATGTTAGAAAAGCAGGTTAAGTGGATTTTCAACCCCCCGCAAGCATCAACTTTTGGTGGCGCTTGGGAGCGCATGATTAGAAGCGTGAGAAAAATTCTTGATTTTATACTGCATCTGCAAAAGTTGACTGACGAAAGCTTGCAAACGTTTCTATGTGAAGTGGAGTACATACTCAACAGTCGCCCCTTAACAGCGGTATCTGCGGATCCAAAAGACCCCGATCCCCTGACGCCCAACGATATCTTACTGCTGAGATCTTCTTCGATTCCAGCTGGCCTATTTGATAAAAATGACGCAGTTGGGAAAAAATTGTGGCGACAAGCGCAATATATGGCAGACCAGTTTTGGATACGATGGCGAAAAGAATACATCCCTTTGTTACAAGAAAGAACTGCAGATCAGCGCCTTCGATCAAATGTAGCAGTAGGCGATATTGTCGTTGTCGTTGATGCCTCCGTTCCCCGGGGGCAATGGCCGTTTGGTCTGGTGAAGGTGGTGCGAAGGAGCGAAGATGGTCTCGTGCGCTCGGCCACGGTGCTAACTGGGGTAAGCTGATACAGCGCCCCGTGCGCAAGATAGTGGTTGTGCTTCCATCTAGAGAAGGTAAAGAAGGTTAAAACCTATGAGTAGTTTTAAAGGCGGAAGTGTTAGCGCTGCTAGCACAGCATTACAACTTACAACGTTTGAGAAGCTGAGCTTTGGAAATTCCGAACGAAAAACGAAGAAAACGAACGGAAACGATCGAGCTTCCCATCGAATTGAAATACCGAATTCGTACGAAGGATCGAACATAAACTGAATATGTCATTGAACGGTTTTCAAAACGTTTTCAACTCTGGAAATATCACCGAGAAATAGTCACGTGAATGAGAGTTCAGATAATTCAAAATTTGTTTCATGTTTTTATTTGCTTTTACTTGTTCGATAGATATGGTCGTTTTTTGAATTGATTTGACTTTGTTTTAGTTCATGTTACCCGTCTAGGCGACTTCTGTTACTATTAAAACCAGTATCCAAATATATTGCGTTTTCATTTCAGATGTTCTTTTTGTTATTGTTGGCCTACGGCGGTAACATGCATGCTTGTCAAATTATGTGAATAAACGAATTCATAACATTGCATTTTTCTCTCCATGCAAGGAACAAGTAAGATGTTGTAGAAAATGTAATAGAGGGCTGCATTGCTGATTTTGCACTTTATCAGAGCTTTATTAAGAATTGCTTTCCTGAAAGCTACACACAGGCCACAGCACTGAAATTCACAATGTCATAGCTTTTGGCAGAAAAAAAGAAAAGACTTACCTAGGTAAAATTGGCTGAAAGTATGGCAGAGCAGGTCTTGATGCGTATGCCCATCCATGTGCTTGCCGAAGCCGAACTGACTGCAACACATTAACTCTGACCCACCATGGTGGCTGGCATATCCTGAACTTTCACCACTCTAAACAAGACAACTTTCAGCCCTTAGCATTGTATTAAAACACTGTACATGACACTCAAAATTTGTTTCAGTGCCATCCACGAACATCAGTCGCCATTCACCAGGCCAGTAAAAACAGAATAGATAATAGTTTCAAACCCATATAGTCAGAGGTACAAGGTCTGCACCTCAAAACAAAATCCAGGTGACATTCACCACGCCAGTAAAAAACAGGTACTTAGGTAACGTAACAGCTTCAAATCTGGTAACATGTTGGTCGGACTTTACACTACCATATTTACATGGAATAATATGATACCAAACAATAGTGCAACCATTCTGGACAACAAAAGTGTATGATAAAATTAATTTAGAATACTTTGGCAGCATGATTTACGAGCACAGGCAGGTGTTACCTATCAGCCTTCTCAATGCTCGTAAAACCAACATTGTAGTTTTGATTTTACCTTACATGATAACACACTTGGCTGCAATGGCACATTTAATTTAATACTGTGAAAAGACCAGTTATAACCACTTCACAAGCACAATTGCACCTCATGCCGACATCCTTTTCCAGACAGTCAGCAGCGTCTTTCGTCAAAACTGGAAGATCAATCCCCTTACAACTGTTAACATCAAAAATATTTCTTCATGGTGTGATCTCCATATGGAAACCTTGCAGGAAAAGAATTAATGTCAATTGTCAGCTCTTCAAATTTCTTTGGACTTTAACTTGCAGTACCACATCCAGTTTGCTTTGATATTTTGTTTTTTATTCCATATTGAAGTTGAACACCAAGCTCCAGATATAGCAGGCAGCTTGATCATCTTCGGCCTTGGTATAATATCAGTCCAAGTTCCAGTGGTGGGTATCTTCTAATATTCAAATTAAAATGAAACGCAATAGGCTTTCTCAGCGCCGACGACGGATTTCACGTTGATAAAAAAGGGAGCTCAAGGTGAGCAAAACTCGGGTTCAAGGAATGGCGGGCGTTGAAATGACTGCTAACGTCATCAAAAAACCGCTAATGGTTAAGAGATAGGGACTACGCTGGTCCCACCCTGCCAGTAAAGGGAAGAAATTTCTTGAACACCATAAACCTGCGGGGGTTGCGACCAGGATAAATGGTGGTTTCTGACTTCTGAGCCTGGCCGCAAACTTGGCTATCTCAACTCAAAACTAATGTTAAGGTGGGATGGTCCCTTTAAATCATCATTCGAGTCTATGTTACACAGTGCTTGTAACAAGCATCTGTTTGGTGTTGACCAGAGTCACGTATTTTACATCACATGATGCATGCACAATGCACATGCATATGCTAGCAGAAGTAGACTGTAGTACTGACCTTGACATCTCCGAACATGGCCTCGAGGTCGTGCGAGCCGGAGCCCAGCGCCAGGTGGTACAGGATGTCCGACTTCATGTTGGCCACGTGCGGGTTCCGAAGGCGCACAACAGCGTCCTTTTGGCTGGCGGAAAGGATAGCTGTTATTAAAAACTGTATTATACCGACGAGCTGAATAGAAGCTTCAGACACCTTGCAGTCAGGTCACCTCACAATGAAATAAAATATGAAATTCTGACGGCAAAATATTCAAATACACTAAATCGTGGAGTTGCAATAGGGGACATCCGTAGTATGCTCAACTTTCGGACACTTCTGGAAAGTTATTAGCCATTTAACCCCAGCTTAGATTCGCAGAATTTCGGCAATGGACTGCAGAATGCTAAAATTGCATGGACAAAAGGAGTGATAAAAAAGGAACAATCAATGTTTATTGCATTCGCATCAATATTACAAATAAAATCATCTAATTAGTAGGTACGTCAGCAAATAAACGATACAGCCATTTGCAGCGTTGTTACTGCTGCAACACTGCTGAACTCTATCTCATTCGTCGTCATGCCGCCTTTTCAACTCTAAGCTCAGGGTTTCGCTTTCGTGCGGAACAATTGGCCATTGTCGATTGCCCGACGTTCGATGACCTGATCCCGTCAGCTGCAGACATCGACCCGGTGGGGTCGACTGACGGGAAATGAGATGGCAGCACTTCGGACATCGATTTCATGGAGCCGACGTAACGGCCATCCAATGGTAGGCGGCACCTGCCACAATGGCCACTGAAAACGCAGAACTCGCAGAGAAAATAAAAAGACAAGACAATTAAGAATTCACACACCAAAATCGTTGGCTGTCATTTTATTTTATTTTTCAAAAGAATGAAGAATGAGCCCAGAAAGCTGTGAAATTTAAAGCAATGATAAAGAACAGCTTTTCGGTCTCCGTTCCTCGCAGCCCAAGTGCATGACATCTCGTTTTAACAAAAGAAACACAAATGCTCAGTCGCGAGAAAGCTTGTCTTATTGGATCCGCCATTTTGGGTCTGATAGTCGATTTAGTTGATTTAGTCGATTTAGTCGATAGTCGATTTAGGTCTGATTTAGGTCACGTTTAGGTCTGATAAAATATGTCGAGCTGTGCATGATCTAGGTAGGCGACGAGCGACGCGGCTATGCGTAATGAAAAGCTGCAATAACTAGTTATATGACAGCATTGTTGCAAATTCAGTGAATGACGCTAAATACTTATCCCTGTTTCGACGTAATTAACCTAAATCATGTAATTTGAGTCTAACGCACTCTACCAGCTCTTGTTGAATGCGGTCTTAATTGCCCGCATTAGGGTAATTGGTATCGTAGGTACTACGATGCTGGTACAGCATGTCGCTACGTTTAGGGCCCCATCCGCTCGTATCAGGGTTGTATACGACTCAATCAATAGCAATCAATTCAATCACGACAAATTTGGGAAACCAATCAAATCATTCAAGTCAGAGCAGTTTTCGGGAATTGATTCAATCGACTCAAACGCGACAATGAAAGGAATCAATCAACTCAATCAAACGACTCAAACCAAGACATACATTAGGTTTTTTGCCCCACCAACTTGGAAAAGTGTCCATAGCAGTCTGGTGTACCTACCTACCTACCTACCTACCTACCTACCTACCTACCTACAGAAGAAACATAAAAATATTGTCATTTAAAATTATAAATTGCCATGCCATTCACAGTTTCTATGTAATAAGGAAGGATACCTAGTGATGGACAGGTGGATCATGATATTGAGGTTCAATGGGTAGAATTGGAGCAGAAGTTTCATTTAATGGGTGCAAAATAACCCAGTAGTTGACTCGCCCCTTAACCCAAATCACCACCTTTCACCTAAAAGTTGTCAATTTAATTTTGGCCATATTCCAGCTAAGTCATCAGGCCATCTAACCCCATGTAAAGTCCCTGTCTGTCTCTTATGTGAGTTATGCGGAGCTCTTCTGAAATGAATCCTGAACATAATGAACCTAGCTAGGTTTCATGCCACACTGACACCATATGAAAGTGTTGAAAATGTGCTACAAATTTGACAACTTCATTAGGTATGCTTTATGAAGACAGCAGGAAAGCAGGTAGGTACCTACTTACCTGCCTAGATGTGCCACTGGCTACCAACAGTACCAACGAAGGTAGATAGGTACCTGTGAGGTAGGTCAATCATTCCTTCCTTTCCTTATTAATATAGCCTGTGATAAATCTGGTACATTTATGAAATAAAGTTGATAAATTGCAAGATCAACAAAGAAAACGTTTTGCCAATAAGTATGCTAAGCTTTTATAAATCCTTATTCTACGTCTTTTGATTTTTTGATAAGATGACGTCATTGATTATCATGTAGTATGGTAGATCATCATAAAATAAATCGGTTGTACAACACCAATTTCGTTTTAATTATTATTTCATTTGAAATAAAACCACTTAATAATATTCGGTAAAATATTTTAAGGAAAATGAAATATATTAAATATGTTATGCTTAGGCTCCCAGGAGAAAAGGATCAACAAACGTTCTGCTGCAAATTAAACAATGCAGCAAATTAGCTATAAATTAGGTACCTACGTAAACGTAATTAGCGAGACGAAAACGGCGCTTTTGTTTCAGTTATTTTTGTAGGGGTTTCAGATATTTATAGAGTTCAGTGGGTTGTTTCTGAGGAGATGTGCTCGTGGAGATGTGAATTATTAATTAATCACACTTTATTAGTATATAGGGTCTTGCACTTTATCATCTGGATTTAAAAAAAAAGTTTCCTGCTGAGTGCAGAAAGGTACCTAGGTAGGTGCACCGCCAGGTTCTATCACCAGGATAGGATTGGAGCAGTTATTGCAGTTGAAAGTCAAAGTTGGCTGTTCATGTTTAGGCCCTGTTCTTTATTTGGCCATCTACCCCATATTGCAGTTGTGATGACAAGCAGTTTTCAGTGTAGTTTTGTGATCTTTGATGTCATCAATTGGTGTCATTATTTTTCGTCAACTAAAACTTATTTGAACTTTCCATTCAATCGACTCAATCATACGAGTCACTCTAATTTTCGGGAATCAAATCAGTCAACCAGTCGCTAAAGTCAAACGAGTCAGTCAACCAGTCATCTCGAAAAGTCAATCGACTCAATCCAATCAACTCAAAATACGCGTTGAAACAAATCAATCATTTCAATCGACTTGATTGGTATACAACCCTGGCTCGTATTGCGTCAGTTCTACATTTACTTAGTATCCGTCGCAGTGACGCCGTGCCAGTCGAACGGCTATCAGCAACGTTTGCAGTACGGGAAGGAATGAATCACCACGGAGCCAAAGGCATCGGTCTGCTTCGCACAGAAGCTTCATGAGCGGCTGAGATCGATGAAAATATCAAATCGACAGTTAATCAGTATGGAATAACCGGCCACACACCCCACTTGGATCATACTATCGTCTTTTACAAACATTAACATTTAAAAATATCATCATTTAGTCCTCATGACTCATGCGCTGCCGCCTGCACCACGCTCCTTTCGATTGAGCGGTCAAGAGGCCTGAAAAGTAGTGGTAAGAAAGCAGCCTGCATTCAATGCTGAAATTGATTTTAGGTACCTAGTTATCGATCTTGGTTCTATTGCAAGTGACAATAAATATTACCTTGGATAAGATATGCAATAACTATGCACTTTGTGTTTAGCGTAGGCCTGCAGCGAGTTGCATTGCAAAAATATGCAAAAAATATGCAAAAAAGTAGGTACAATCGAAAATGACCGTGGAAACTGAACAAACAGCCACGAAGCTAGCAAATAGAAATCCATTTAGCAAAATGTTCAAAATTTAAGTTGAAGGTCAGATTTTTTGCAAGGGAACATGTGAATACGTGCCGCTATTTATTCCCCATGACATCTCGCACTTGGCCGGTGCCTCTGTCACATACCGTTCATCTTGCTGATCGTCGGCCTTCATGGTGTGGGCTGTCGCGGGTGTGACACGCACAGTGCAGCTCGCCGCAGGGCACTGGTCGCTCTGACCTCCGCCTGACCCCCGGGTGCGGGCCCCCGCAGCGGAGCGTCTCATTGGTCGCCGCTCGACCACGCCGCCGCCGGCGCGCGCTGCTCGTCTGTGCGGTATTGACCCGTGCAGCGGCCGGCGGTCGCCGGCTCTACTGTGTTCTACTGGGGGCGGCCGCCCGGCCGGAAACCCGACCTCGGCAGACAGCGGACCTCAGGTGCCCCGGTCCGGTGGCGGGCGACCGACGACCGACGACCGACCGATGTCGGCGGGATGGAGTCACTGGCTCCGTAGGCCGCCCCCACCCAGCCCTTATCGGGCGATTGCAAACACCCATCGAACGGAGCGTGACCGATAGCACCTGCCGGTGGCAATATTGGCCTTCGTTTAGAGCTGGGGTCTACCCTGGCACTGGTCAGCTTTTAGGGGCACGTGGGCGACCGATCGAGAAGCAAACACCGCTGGAGAGGCCGAAAAGCTGCTGTCGTGGGAGGATGTGGCTCCAGTTTTAGTATCGGGGCGATCCTCTGGACCACCACCGAAACAGGGGGCCACGGGGCGCGGCTCAGTCCACAGGTCACCTCTCTAACGGATGTTGATCGAACCACCACATTGTAAAGCCGCAGGCGTTCAGTCACGGAGGAAAAACAGTCACGGTTTGTAAATAACTGAAGGGGCATAAATTCAAAGGTCCAGCATGTCGATTGTCGGAGTTGTGTTATAAACAGAACTGAAGACTGAAGAGCATGGATGTGGATAAAGTACATGTGCTGAAAAGGTTTTATACAGTCGTTTGTTTGGATAAGATTTATTTGGAAAACTGCTCGCCATAAGACATTCTGACACCATGTGTTAATGTTGTGTAGTTCTAAAAAGACAGTCTTCCCTTACGGCGACGAACTAACCAGCCCGAACGACCCTAGTCCCTGATAGACCAGCGCGGCGGTGAAGATTTTCCATCACGCAGTAACGTAATTGTGACGAGACGCTTCCACTTTGAATTTGAATTGCAGAGCATTCACGCGTCCATACTAGTGGTGTCAATCGGAACTTGAATCTTCGGAATTCCGATTTTGTCCAATGTCCAATTCGGAATTCGGTT